TGTGAGTTTAAAAACTGTTAGGGACAAAAGGCAGGCTTGCTGCATAGGGACAACGTTGGCTCGCAAGATCCATTAAACGTTCTGATCTTGCCACATACTTTAGAGGGACTATTTAGCAAAAGTGCTGTACGCAACCGTAGTGCGGGCGCTGTAACCGAGGCCACCCGTAAGACGGGGGCGGTGGCAATAGGCGGGGCACATGCGGAAGAGCATGAAATGGCCAAAGTAATGCCAAAAATAATGCTTAACAAGCGCAAATAAGGCTTCTTGCTCAAGTCAACGTATACTCTCAAAATTCATTTTGCATTATCATCATGCAACAACTCTACGGAGACTAATTTAATGTTAACGATTTTAAGTCGCGTCAGCGATAATATCCAGAAAACAGGGCAAGTATTCTATGGGGGTTACATATCGGATTTTGTCTTATTTAATGTATTGTTCTGATTGAACCGACATCAGGTGGGCGCTGACAGACAGAAAACATCAACTAAATCGTTTAGTTGAAAAGTCAAATTGGCGAACACGTGTTTTCAGTAACTCTTCATCAGGCCAAAACATTTACAATGAAGTTTAGGTTATGCGAATTACATGACTTATAAATGATTCGGGGACAATTAACATCGATCGTTCCCACGCCACTCGCATGACGAGGCGTGCTATGGCGTGGTCGGCGTGTCGTGGTAATTGGGTTCAGGGTGCGAGGAGGAGGGGGGGCATAAGCTGTGAGTGCGTCGTGTACCTTGTGCACCCACCCTGGCATCAGGAGGTTGGAGCGACGTTGGGTTCGGCGTCGGCCACGGAAGACAGAGCGCCTGTGTCAGAGTCTTCTGACAGCATAGCACTGGATTGGCTAGCCGTATAGCCACTGCCTCAGCTGTAGCTAGCATCCGTTGGCGTAGGCCTTTGGAGAAGCCTGCTGGTGTCCGGTAGACAATCTGAAAGGCTTCTTTGGCATCGACTCGGTGATTCGTATCGACAAGATGTGCGAGAATAGAACTCGAGATCGATTTCTTCTCACCTTTGCCTAGCCAGGCCGGTATGTGTTCACGTACTCTCTTTTCCAAACGCCTCGTTGTACGGCCGATGTAGCCCGCTCCACAGGAGCAAGTGAATGAATAAATACACATTTATGTGGCCTGCAACGGGAGTCGGTCTTTACCTCCCAAGCGTAGGAGGGGAGAGTTAGTGAAACACACACGTAAGTTCGCCGCGGGGAAAGCGCTAGTTATCGCTGTCTTCAGACGTCTTTTTACCAGTTCACTTGCTGCGTCTCCTTGAAAAGGTAATCTTATAAATAAGTCCTTCTTTTCTGCAGTTGCCCTGGTGGGTTTTGCAGTGCGCTCCCCTATATTTCGAAGGATAAATCTTTCTGGATATCCGTTTTCGTGGAGTGTATCCCGCAGCTGCTGGAGTTCTGCCTCCACAGTCTCGGGAGAGCAGATACGTCGCACTCTAGCTGCCAATCCCTGGACTAGATTTCGTTTGATGTTGAGGGGAACAAAACTGTGAAAGTTAATGTATTGTCCCGTCCAGGTTTTCTTTCGTAATACTCTACGTTGGATAGACCCATCCTCTTGTCTGTGCAGAAGAACGTCGAGGAACGCGATTTCATTGTTTGCCTCAAACTCTGCAGAGAACGTTAGCGAGGGGTGTGAATTGTTGAATTTTTGAATCAGGACGTCTGTGTCGGTGGTAACATCCGTCAGGCAGAAAATATCGTCTACGTACCGACCGTAGAAGCTGAGGTCATTAATGGTGTCTTGTAAACTTGTCATCTCGACTTTGCCCATGAAGACATTTGCGAGGAATGGGCCGAGCGGTGAGCCCATCGCTACGCCGTCTATTTGCCTGTACAGTTGACCATTGCAGAGAAACTGGACGTTTTGCGTGCACTTTGTCAGAAGCTCTTTAAGCGTCTCCAGCGGCATGCCTAACGGGTAGTTCGTGTCGCGGATAACGTCACAAAGGTAGTTTATTGTTTCGGCTACGGGTACGGCTAGCCAATCCAGTGCTATGCTGTCAGAAGACTCTGACACAGGCGCTCTGTCTTCCGTGGCCGTCGCTTCAACCTCCTGATGCCAGGGTGGGTGCACAAGGTACACGACGCACTCACAGCTTATGCCCCCCCTCCTCCTCGCCCCCTGAACCCAATTACCACGACACGCCGACCACGCCATAGCACGCCTCGTCATGCGAGTGGCGTGGGAACAATCGATGTTAATTGTCCCCGAATCATTTATAAGTCATGTAATTCGCATAACCTAAACTTCATTGTAAATGTTTTGGCCTGATGAAGAGTTACTGAAAACACGTGTTCGCCAATTTGACTTTTCAATTGCAACATGGGAATATTCGCTAAATCGTTTAGCTATGTTTTTACATAGAAGCGGTCAAGTAAATCGAGTTGAAGTATCGACTGTCAGTGAATCGAAGCACGCATTAGTTCAGGCACGGTAAAATGTCGACTCTTCATTAAAAAAATACCTTCCAGCTATTCCTGTTTATCCCCTCCATAACTATTGTTATGCAAGAAGTGCATTTCATCTTCTGATTTTCTAATCGCTAATTTCACAAAAGGGACATCTGCATTTAAGCTGATTTGGCAGAATGTGGTCATTTTGTGAAGTTCGTCAACTTCTAAAGTTTTAATTTGTCGGCTATGTCCGGAAACGTAACTTGTGTTTCCTCATGTTCTCCTGGCCTCCATACCCGATGTCATGCACTTCCTTCACCTTTGGCTATTTCCTCACGTCCCTGGGCGGCAAGTTCCCGTTGCCCCTAGGCTTTGGAATAAACTTATGAAGAACGTTGTATAAATTCGAAAACCTCGTTGATAAACTTCCAGATAGTAAACTGCAATAAAAATTAAAGGAAATCCTCAAAAACGTTTTGTAGTTATAAATTTCCTTCACAACTGGAACACCCCGCCTCCTTCAAATACGGAACCTGAAGACGTAATCTCGTGCAAAAAGCGGTGGAAAGTACACCGCACCCCTGAAC